GGGAAAGGGTGAGTGAATGGGTGAGATGGAGAGTGGGAAGGGAAACAAATCGGGATTAGAGAGATTGTCGTGCGACCTGGCCATCGCCTCCAACGGATTAGTCAAGATGTTCCGAGATCCTTCGAAGTCTCTGAATTTATTTATTTATTATTTACCCACTATCTAACAAAAAGCATTATTTTGCAATATTATTAATTAATTCAAATGTTTTCAATTTTTATAACAACATTTGGAGATTTTCTCGTACGTCGAGATTTTTTTTTTTTTTTGCATATTGCTTTCCGCATTTTTTATTTTTGAATATTATCGGAAAAGGGGAAATGTTTATAGAAATTACGGAGAGTACGGAGAGTACGGAAATTCTCCTGGTGAATTAACAGTGTTATTTATTTTTGTAATGCCAGCACCTGGGATTCCAGGTTTATTCATCATCCCCAGGATATACACCTTCGCCAAACGTTGACCGACAGAGGTTTCACGAGATTAACTGCTTACGTCGACAGGTTAACCTGCTTAACTTTTTAAGTTAGAGAAACTAAATCGCATTAAGATTCTATGAAAAATTTTCTCGCGGTCGCGTCACTCTTTTCGGGGTAAGTTTGACTTCTCCGCTTCAATGAGCTTTTTATTTTTTTTCCTCTCAACCCTTTTTCACTCGGCTGGAGGCCCAAAAAAAGATTATCCAAACTCGGGTGTTTATTGTTTATTTGTCAGTGTGGGAAAGAGATACACTGAGTTTGTATTTTTGGTGGAGAAGCCAGTGACTTTGGATCGGGAGTCAGTGGTGAATGAAAAAATAACGCGAGAGGGGAGTGTATTGTTGATCAAGACGTGGATAGATTTGTGTCGGATTTTGGGTACGGATCATCCGTTTGACTCTGTTCTCTTCAAAATATCAACGAATCCGATCCGTTCTGACACTTTTCCATCAAAACTTTGGAACAAAATTTTTGGTTGACTGAATAAACGCATAATTCGAAGAAAATACTGAAATTCCATTCCCTCACCAGTTCACAACCTGCAAAACAATTTCCCTTAATAAATAAATAAATTAAAAGGAAGGGGTTGAAGATTTATTATTTCTCCCGCCTCAGTTTATTTAAATAAATGACTGCCTAAAATTGAATTCAGAGTTTACCAAATTTAATTAATTTTTCCGTAATTGAATGAAAGGAAAAAAAAACAGGCAGAAAATGGCTGATGTGATTTTAATGGAAAAAAATAATTGAAAGTTTTGATCGGCAGATGTCCATTGTGTGTCTACAGTAGACTATGTTGAACAAATATGCGATCGTTTGTTGATCCAATGCCCCTGGGGCCCATACCTGGCCCGACCTGTAGGTGCAAACGTCGATGGAGTCATAAAAACAGCATGAGAAACACTCGGCAGAAAAAGGAAAGAAAATAACAGGACAGATTGGAGAGGAAGCGAGAGCCCAGGGGTTTTCACCGAAATTTGGTACATACCGGGGTCCTGGGGCCCGGGGATGAGGCCCCGGACGTGGTCCAGATGAAAGGGAAAAAAGAAAATTCACAAAGACGTGAAAAACGGTGGAAGGAGGGCAGACAAGAAATCCAACGAATTCGGGAATGTCTCAAGGGTGTGGCGAATGCGGCGTGCTTCTGCCATAATGATGTAATGAGTGCCCTCTTGCTACCCCAATTCGATACGCATGACCTAACCCCCTCCCCTGTTCTATTGCCAATTATTTCGATTTTAGAGATCATTTCAAAAAACGAAAAAACGAGAAAAACGGAGAAATCTGGAGAGAAGTGGCGGATTAAGAAGTGCATTTTTTTCGACGCCTGTTTTTACACCATATCTCGAGATTGCAAGGAGATAACGATTTTTGCATAATTATCTTTTTTGTAGCTCTCGTTTTTTTCTGGAGAAAATGTTTTGATGAGAAATTCGGTGAGGCTTGTTCATCCCGAGATATTTGATAAAAACTGACGGAGGAAATGCACTTATTTGAGTTTACCCCATCGCTACTGAGATTCGACGATTCGAAAATTGAAGTTTTAATTAAAAAAATTCCCGAAGTTCAAATTTGTTGCAAATTCAACGAATCATTAAAAATTACAATTATTTCTCGATTTCTTTTCAAATAAATCGCTAAAAATTCTGATACAATCGAAAATCAGAAATCAAAAATTGAAAATTGAAATCAGGACTCGAAAGGTTCTTCGAAAAAATATTTCTCCTAGTTCCAAAATAATTCTCACCGTCGAGACATGATTTTCAGACTCATTACAGTAACCACCCACCAACCAGGGTAATAAAAATTATAAAATTCAGTATTCATTGTGTAGAAACTTTATGGTTTATTTTGGCAAGCGATATTTCCTTGAAAGGGTTCAGGACGAGGGGGAGGAGGAGCCGCCATTGTAAAATCCATTGTTAACCTAGCAGAGCTTATTAGAGCATAATAGAATGCAAATAGGATCGAGAGGGTGTTGATGAAATGTGACAGGACCTTGGAATGTTTCAGGTAAAGCACCGCCGATGAGGGGGAGGGGGGGATTAAATCTTGAAAAAAAAAATTTACAATCTCCTATCAAGTGGTGATTTATTTCCGAATATTTTCATCCCATATTTTACTCCCGGCGATTCTTATCTCGCATTTTAATAATCCGAGAGCTATTCGCCGCTTCTCGATCTATAGATTTACAGAATTTCAATTATTGGGTAATAATAATAATTATTATTATCATTATTATTATTTTTAATATGATAATGATAATAATAATAATAATAATTATTATCATTATTATTATTATTTTTCGTGCAATCCATTTAAAAAATGTGAATATTGAAAAATATAATAATTGTAGAAATGTAATGTATATTGTAGAATTGTCGAGTAGTATGAATTAAATTAAAATAATATATGAATATAATATAATATAATATAAATAAATTTTAGGAGTAATTTTGCTGGGGGAAAGTATTTATTTTATTTTTCACGATTTATCGTTTATAGGGAGTTTCGGAACTTTCGGCTTCTCCCGAAAAATTCGAGAGGGAAAAAAATAAATAGGGGAATACAGGTAAATCTTGGTCTCACCACAGGGTGACGACGTATTCACGGCAGGAGGTTTCGCATACATATATAGAGTCATCATTCTATCCTGTTGAAAAGTTATATTCACTCGGCGTGAGGCTTCGAATTTTGTGGCATAGATCAGTGAAACATTGTTTTCCCATTTGCTGACTTGAGACCACCATCTCTCACTGATGGTATCAAAAAACTCCCGTCCACGCCCAGGTGGTCCCTTTTTATAAATATAAAATACGTAAACAGTCGAATCTTCAGGAAAAAATTGAAAAAATAAAAAAAATTTTAAAAATGAAAAAAATTGAAAAAATTGAAAAAATGAAAAAAATTGAAAAAATTGAAAAAATGAGATATAAAAATTATTAGTTTTTATTCGTTATTTATGATGGGTTTTATGGGCATTCTTGGGTCTCATTCTCACAGTGGGTCGAGCCTTTGGCCATTTAAACAATGACTCAAGTTGTCTGATTAACCGATTAACCTCGTTTGTCCGAGTCAACAAATTCAATTAAACTCAATACATGATAAATCAATTCCTAACAACTTGGATTAACCAAATTTAGAGTGACAAAAATATTTCAGGCACGTAAACGTTAGTCATTGACATTTCGGTGGATCTTCCAGCTCAGAGTTTTTTTTTAAACCGAAGATGTTTCAGGTATCGGTGAATTAGGGACAATAAAATAAATATTTTCCCTTGAAATAACAAATACTTCAACAAAAAGTAATAAAAAAAATGAATGAGACGAGAATGTTGTAAATATAAATCGATATAAAATGATTTCGATTTTATCTCGAATTATCTCATCGAATTTAGTCGTTAAATCAAATCGAAAAAAAGAGGATTTAAATTTTCTGGATTAAATTTATTCCATCAGGTGTCACTAGGAGGCGCTGCAAAGCAGGCGATAAAGCCCTAGTCATTTAAGATACAATACTGTTTTGAATCCCCCACCCCCCACGTTATCTTAATTCTGTTAGTCTGACAATGGCCCCGAAACAATACCTGCAGGCTAAGTTCATCCGATTTACTGACCGACACACCCTCCAGATATTCATCAAGAACGTGAAAAATTCCCCGATAATATTCAAGGGCATTAAATGGAATATCGAGTTTTCCGCGAATTCAGGATGTAACCGGCTAAATTTTATTATTCATCCTGCGATAAATTAATTCTTAACGCAGAAACCGAGAGCCTGAGATATTGAACAGTAATCGGATTAATGATTTTCCACAGAAAAGAAAAATAAATACTTCCAATTCAGAGAATTTTTAACAAATATATGGAAATAAATTTTTCATGGATTTGTAAAAGTAATAAACAATTATCTTTTATATGTATTTTTTCTTTAATAATTTTTTCGTAGTGTAGCACCTGCAGTATTAAAAGCCACACAAATTTGAAATTAAAAAAATCCAAAATTCCGAGCAAGCGATTTTTTAAAATCGGTATACCATATTTCTGACATGAGCAACCCTAAGTTGAAAGATTATTTATCCACAAAGATATCCAAAAAAAATCACTCCCAACTCATTGACTTGAAACAGAATAAACCACAATGAGTGTATCCACCCGGGGATTGGATGGAAGCCAAGGTGGGGAGCGCGACGGCAGTAAAACGAGGTGAAAAAAAAAAAAAATATATAACACGAGGGCGAAGCCTAGAGAGGGCCAGGATTTGTTTGTATTTCCATGCGTGTTGCGGCTGCGCTCCCCACCTTCAGTCACCTTTTGCAGTCGCCCCGGCTGTTTGCATTGTTTGCTGTCAAACATTGGGTGAAAACACTGGTGGTGGGGTGAGAGCTGACAATCGTCAATGGCCGGTGCGGATTGGTGGAGAGGAGCGACAGGCGCGTCCAGCGCACGAGTGGGCGTTCCCTGGCCCGAGGTATATAACCCGACGCAGTGGGGGAACCGCCAGATACCCGTGACCGCTCCGACGGTGCACATCGCTTAAGATTTAACTTAGCCGACCCTAGACTCCAAGAGTTCCCCTAAGTTTAATCGTTATCAAATAAAAAAAGTGTTCAGTGTGTTGTTTCCATCAAATTGAACTCGTGCTATTGTGAGGAGATTTGAGTGTTACTGGATACTAAAAACAGTTGAACGAGTGAATTTATGAAAAAATGGTGAACATGGAGGGATCAAGTGAGCAGCAAACGGTGACGGCTTCACCACCTCCAAGGACAACCCTAAAAAGTAACTTCAGCATCAGGAGTATAGTGCCAGAAGCTTGTGCTGGTACTCCATCAGCACCAACGATTAGTCAACCCTCGATGTCACCAACGGTATCTCATGCCGATGACAGCGATGACTCGAGTGACTTGGATGTAACTGGCGACGGTGCTGAGACACCACCGCTGGATTGCTCTCGGAATGCGACAAATGATAGTCCATCGGCCCAGCAAAATCAGCAGACCGAGGAGAAGAAGAAAAATGAAAAACCACCATACAGTTACAATGCACTCATCATGATGGCTATTCGTCAGAGTCCGGAGAAACGTTTAACATTGAATGGAATCTACGAGTACATAATGCGTCATTTTCCTTACTACGAGACGAACAAGCAAGGCTGGCAAAATTCAATTCGTCATAACTTGTCGCTTAATAAGTGTTTTGTCAAAGTGCCAAGGCATTACGATGACCCGGGAAAGGGTAACTACTGGATGCTGGACCCGAGCTCTGAGGATGTCTTCATCGGTGGTACGACGGGAAAATTGAGGAGGAGAACGACAGCTGCTTCTAGATCAAGACTCGCTGCATTCAAGAGGAGTGTTGTCCTGGGTGGACTTTATCAGACACCTTATGCACCACCAGTGTGGCCAGCATCTCTGTACTCGTTGCCTTATCTCCATAGAGCTGGGTATCCACCAACCAGTGGAGCTTATCCAACACCAGCAGGCTATCCAGCTAGTTTGCTACCGGGATCTACGAGCATGCCCTGCAAGCCCCAGGCAGTACCTGCAACAGCAGCTCCACCGAGTCATGGAGGTTTTTCCATGGAGAGACTTCTTCAGGCACCAGCTGGTTATCCAAATGGTCTTCAAGCTCCTGCCATACCTTCTGCAACGAATCCATACGATTTCTATACGACTCTGAGAAATCTTGCGGCACATCAGCAACATCAGGCTGTCTTCGGACAACCGAGGTATCACTTGGGTCAACCCCATTTACCAAGTCAGCCAACATCGACGACAGCATCACCTGGTAGCAGCCCGGAACCCATGTCTCCGCATTCCCCTTCGAACTCTGCCTGCAATTCCGTCGGACAGAACAGGCCCCATGAACACAGTCCACCGATGCTACTTCTCAAACCCATCACCGTTCTCACTGGAAGACAAAGCTGAAGACAAACAGATCTACAAGTTACCGCTACCAGTGATTGAACTTTTTTTTGTATATTTCTGCTTTTTAGTATTTTTTTATTGTTGTGGATTTGAGGCGAGTCCGGGTGAACCCGTAGTCCTCGTATGGCAACATATGAGGATTCTATTGGGGAATCTCATGCTACGTCAGACTCATCAGAATCTCAAACCCTGGAAATTTAATTAACAATGGGTTTTAAATAATTCCGAATTACCAAATTTTGAGGCGTTTCGGTTAATTGCACAAGTGGAGGCCTCTCCGAGTGATGATAATGATTTAGAAGATTTATAATATATTGTATATAGAATTGAGAAAATTATTATATTAGTGATTTAGGGTATGTAGCGTTGCCTGAGATCTCTCGTTGACGAGTGTTCGTTTTTATCAATCCTGACATTCGCCAATTTTAATGTTTATTTGTATATACAAGAGATGGAAGAAATTATTGACGATTCTGAGATGTATATAGAGAGAAGCAGGAGATCAATATGAATAAATGTTCAAGACCTTTTATTATAAAACAATTTATTATCATTCATGAAAATATTTTCCATATCCTTTGACGTATCCTCCAGATGCTTCACGTCTTGTTGATTTTTTTTCTTTTTCTTTCGATTTTGCTGGCGCAACTTCCGGGTTGTTTCGTTCATTTGCAATTTGTGATTTGATATTCGATTCAATGGATTGTTGAGAAATTTTTTTGGGGTTTCGTCGTAAAATTAACAGGCAGAACCCGCTGGCTGTCAAAACATCTGAGAAGGTAACATCGTGGGGGAATGCTGAGAGGATGGCGAAGGAAAGCCAAGAGGGACACTAAATAACTTTATTACCTCGTCGTAACCATAAACCATACTTCTCATGACCTTAGGCCCTTCAATGTATCCGAAGGCAACAAAGATTTTCCAGATATTTTCGTCTATTCTTTCCCTTTTATTTTTCAGTGCTACGATTTTATTCCCATTCTCACAGACAAGTTGCGTTTTCATAAAGACTCTTCGGGGGGAAGTTTATTATTCTGAAAAGGATTTATGGAATTTTTAGATGGATGGTGTATGTTACATTGAGAGAATTACGTAATTATCTGGTAAACCTCAATTCGCGGGTTTACATCTATCCTACAAAGGGCAATCGTTCAGCCATTGCCCGGGAAAAAATTTTAATCGGAATATTTTTTTCGAATTTTCAAAAGATTTCTGGACAACTTTCCAGGAAATTATTCTTTTGAAAAAAAAATCGGGAAACGAAACAATTGTTTTTAGGGAATGTTTTGAAAAATTTTTTCCAAAATTTGTTTCGGGAATTTATTTTTATAATTTTCTAGAAATTTTGGCGAATACAATTTTTTCTTTAAATTGTACTGTTGTTTTCTTACTTTTTTGATTTTTCAAAATTCTCAAAAAATACGCCATTTAAATTAGAAAAAAATTCCTATTGAAATTTTTGAAAAATTTTTCAAAACCTTTCCCAAAAATAAAATTGGTTTGTCTTCCGATTTTTTTTGTTTCATAAAACAAATTTCTAAAGTTTTCCCACAATTTTTTGAAAATTTGGAAAAAATATTCTGATTACAATTTTTTTTCCCGAGTGAGTTCTGGAATTTTCTCATTAAAAAATAATAACAAAGTTAATTAAATTTCTTTTACTTATAAACCTCCAAGATATCATCTAATTAATAACTCACAATTATTCAAATAATTATTGACTATACAATTTCCAATAAAAATGAAAAATCCCCAAAATCTTTAATTATCCGAATGATTTATAAATGGAATTCGAAATTGAATAATTTATTTCCAAAGAAGTACAAAGTTGATAATGAATTAATCCAGTGATTGAATTTTAAAGTTCAAATGGATTTTTAAATTAATCCAGAGACTAATTCTAGAAGGACTAGGTAAAGAGACAGCGACCGAGACATAAATTGCAAATTCGTTCAATCTTGATTAATGGAGTACGTGTTTCGTCAACTAGTGTATTATAAACGTCACTAGTACTTTTGATATCAAACAGAATGTCCCCATCACTTATACCAAAGTAATACGCGTGTACATATCCACGAGCGATTTACGATTAGATGCGTGTACACATACTAGTAATGGCTCGATATATTGGTATGATACATTGAGACAATGAGCGCGTAAATAAGATAATGGGGGGAGGTAAGCGATGGCGTACGATCGTGGGTGAATTGTTTCGTGTTTGTCAAACTGAAGAACATTTGAGTTCCTCAAAATTATTTTTGAAAACATCCTTTATCTATCCGGGTTTAAAAAAATTGTCATCGGAATATTTTTTCGAAATTTTGAAAAAAAAATTCTGGAAACCTTTTCAGAATTTTTTTTTTGAAACAAAAAAAATTGGGAAGCAACGTAATTGTATTTTTGGGAAATTTTTTGAAATATTTCTTTAAAACCTTTCAAAAAATGAAATTATTTTCTTCCCCATTTTTTTTTTGTTTTAAAAAAAATTATCAGATAAATTTTTGGAAAATTTGGAAAAAATATTGCGATTACAATTTTTTTACGCGGGTACTTCACATTCATTAATTAATCTCCACAGTAATCTAAAATAAATAAAATTAATTGATTGTTTAATTTAAATTTTCAGTGTTACGATATATAATTTGAATTCTTCCAAATCTCTAATAGATCATGCGCTAAATATTTTATAACGCAATTATATGTGGATATCTATCTGATATATTTCGGGTTTAATATCAGATGAAAGGGTGTTTGCAAGAGAAATGGAGAGATGACTGTTGATGTGATGTTTTGCTAGAGCAGTTGCTGTGAATGAGTGAGACATTTTGAGTTAGTGACAGAAGGGCAGAGGAGGGGATTCGAATAAAATGGGACCAGAGATGAAGTACAGAGACCGGTTCAAATCAGCAGATGGGATTGTGACCCGCGCAGCCTACAAACTGCCAGACGTGCCTCGCATCTTCATACACTTCAAGTGCGTAAGTATGCGATTACTTTAACCATTTTATTGCCCCCATTTTTGACCATTTTCATGGGTTCATGTAACGATGTTGAGCCATTTTGCAAGACTAATGATGAGGAATTAATTAATTGAAAATTAATTTCAGTTGATTATTAATTTTTGGGACAGTTCAGGCAAACGGGGCCTGATGAGATAATTTATTTATTTATTTGAATTAATTTTACATTTAGAAGATTAAATTAATAATTGCAGGGGGGAGAAGAGGGAGAAGAGGGAGAAGAGGGAGAAGAGGGAGAAGAGGGAGAAAAGGGAGAAGAGGGAGGAGAGGGAGAAAAGGGAGAAGAGGGAGAAGAGGGAGAAAAGGGAGAAAAGGGAGGGATGACCTCGATAAGGGCGTAATGAATTTGTTTATCATTCAATTGAAGATTGAAAATGATTTCTGATGGCGCATCGGGTGATGTCTCTCGGTGTTTTGTCGTTCCCTAGTTTTGCGACAGGGAGACATCGTCGGCGTCTAGAATGAGACAAGTACGAAGATTGGCATAGCTTCACGTATCACCGAGGGGGACTGTAAACACTTGCGTGGTCAATTGCACCAAGTGGACAAGAGTACATGGACTCTCGTCGCCGTTGCTGTTTTCCTGTTTTTTTTTTTCGGACATGCTTCACACCGCGTTGGTATTTTTAAAATGTCTAGAGGACAAATTTGTAGTTGGTTCAGTGAATTCTAATTAACTCGACAAGATCATTAGTTTTCTCTCCGGAACGCTTCATTCATTCATTTATAGTCGTGTTTACCTAATCATCAGGAATTTATTGATTTGTTTTCCGTAAATTCAAGGACTTGAAATTAATGTATGAAATTAATGAATGAAATGATTGTTGTGTAATTATATGAAGTATATAAATTATTTATATTATTTCGTTATTATTTTCGGGGTATATAAAAATATTTGGAAACATTGGGAATTTAAAATTTGATAATTAGATCTAAAATATATATTATACAGATTTTTTTGAGAATCAGTGAATTTTTAAATGATTTAATTGTACACGGAGAGAAATATTTCGTAAAAATTACGGAACTTTCAGGTCACTTACCGATTCGAAATAATTCGGAGTCGATTCGAAAAATTAAAGTGACGATATAGTAATTTTTCACTAATAATTCAGATAAAAATTACGTGACAGTTCCGTAAAATTTCCAACAGCCACATTTCGCTCCAGAATTACGAAAAATCCGCGTAATTTTTATTGAATATTTTTCTCTGTGTACACGAAAGTATTTATTTGTATTGATTCCTGTGAAATTGACTTGGACATTGGTTGATGTTATTATTAGCCCCTACCCAGCTATTTTGACAACGCCATCTTGTGCGTTAGGTTATTCCACATGGGGATGAAATGGTTCCTCGGAGGGAGCATAATTCGGGGTGCAGCGATGGTAAACTAACGCATGAAATCATCTACAAGGGGACGTGATGGGGGGTTGCATCAATAGAATCGACGAGAAAACCAAACGGTGCCATATTATTTTCTTGCTGGTACTGAAAAAGGGGAGAGAAAGAGAAACCAGGAATACTCCCGTAGATGATTTTAGATTGTGGTGGGATTTATCGGGAGAGGGGGCCGTGTCCTTCCGGAGGCATTCAATAGGCGGATGGAACAGAACCGATTTTTTTTTTTCGGGATATGGGGTTGGGATTGCAATGGTGGTTGCACTGCGGTTAATAATATTTAACAAAAGAATTTCAAATCGGCGAAACGTCCAGGGAAAAAAGACATCAATAGGGGATGAGTAACATCTTCATTAATTACATTATTATTTCTCGGAAAGGATTTTTCATTTCCATTTTTATTTTTTTAATCCTTTGTTTATTGTTATCCACATGAGGAGTGTAAACAATTAGGATTATGTAATTGTAATAATTGAATGAAATATGCATATTTGATTTTTAAACCTGTTCGTTAAATTTGTTTACAAAATTTCGGTTAATCATGTATTTTACCTCGAAAATACGAGAAAGGATGAGTAACATTTTCATTAATTATATTATTATTTCTCAGAGCGGATTTTTAATTTCCATTTTTATTATTTGAATCCTTTGTTTATTGTTATCCACATGAGGGGTTTAAACAATTAGAATTGTGTAGATTTAATAATTGAATGAAATATGCACATTTGATTTTTAAACCCGTTCGTCAAATTTGTTTACAAAATTTCGGTTAATCAAGTATTTATAATTTTTTTACAACTTGGAGATAGAATTGATAACAGTCGATAGTACAAAGGTACTTCAAAGTCAATTTGTCAGAATATTCTTCTGCGTCACTTGTGATCCAACATGACGTGACACGCGCGTTCTAAAGTGGCATAAAAGCCAGTGTACAGACGCGTGGGTGGATAAAACAAAAGTACGAGATGAAATAAAAAATGATGAGTCGTTCATTAAAACATTTGAATGGTGAAAATTCATTGGTTTTAACTGTCTCGACAATCTCTCTCCTATTTTCAGTGATAATTCTTGTCTGGTACGCGTCCAGTTTGGCGAGAAA